TTGGTCGCGCTTTTGTTTTGGAACTTCGCCAACCAAAACACCTGAACTGTACCCCCTCCGAACCCCCTTTAAAAACCAAGGGTTTTTGTGATGACCGATTGCATACCTTTGCGCACCATACAGCGAGGCAACTTCGCCCAAGCAAGGGCAAGATATTCTTGTCAAAGAAGGCTTGATGCACAACCTTATATTTGAGGTTACTTGGTCCTCCCAGTACTTCACATCTTTTGATGTGGACAATGCGAACAATACCCACCTCACAAAGGATGCTGTATTTCATGGACTCTCGAAGCATATCAAGTCAGTGAGTTTCCGTTTGAGATTAGGTTCACGAAGGGCACCTTCGCTGAGAGAAGTTCACTCATCAGCTCATCTCACTGAACATCTTCATTCAATCCCTCCTTACACATGAACATACCTCTCTTTCGCCTCCTTAGGCTCTACCCTCTCTTATACCTTCTTGTTCGTATACTTTACCATCGACCCTTATGTATGATGGGAGTGGATTTGTGTTGTAACATTCTAATACACTTCAAAAATATAAGCTAGAATAAGAGGTGTAGCTACTACTATACCAAGGGCTTCCTCGACCACAATATATTATTGCTGGTTGGGAGACAGTCCCAACGTTTAGTGATCCAGCAATAATACCTTGTTCAACTCAACCAGGAATTATTGGCCTTACCTTCTACCTCAATAGCCATCCTAAGCCCACTTGAGCAAGTACAGCAACGCTCCTTTTCTCCAACCTCACCTTCTCTCAACAACCAATCCACTCACAAGTGATCTCGCCCACGACTTGAAGCAGTCGGGTTGGATCGCCCATCAGCACTTCGGCAAGCCTGGGTCCACATGGCATGACACTGCATGCATCCCACGCACGACATAGATGGAGAATGTCCATATGAAAAAAAAAAATCATGTTTTTAGAGATCCAAATTGAGAAGCTATACTGGATGGAGTCACATTTGATTTTTTTTCAGATTTTTTTTTTTTTTTTTTTTTTCATGAGAATATCATGAAATTAGAGATCCTCATCTAAGAACACCTTAGAATTAGCGCTCGAAGCTTTGCGCAACCACATCTTAGGTACCGTCCAACCCCTTGGCATACTCTAGAGCTTCTTTGCACAGAACAGCTTCGTACCTTTGCATTCACTTCCACTCCAACAAGCATACCCCTACCTTCCAGACCCCGAGTGCACGCGTCTTGTGCGGAAGCAAGCAGACAGCTTGCTGAACAAGGCGGGGCAGGAAAAGCGGCAGAGCCTCGAGCTGCAGGCGGCCGGCCTGCAGCTTGGCGAGGTCGAGCACGCAGTTGATGAGGTCCACCGTCTCCCGCGCACACTCCCCGCATCCCTCAGGTCGGCTGCCTGCCACTTCTCTAAGGGGGACTCGAGGAGCATCTCTATCATGCTTGCGAGGTCAAGAATTCACAGAGAGACAAGCAGAGAGACAGGGAGAGGGGTCATTGTCACAGGGAGGGAGAAAAGGAAGCACACAGCCACACACACACTCGAGCACGCGGTTGATGAGGTCCACCGTCTCCCGCGCACACTCCCCCGCATCCCTCCGATCCGCCGCCTGCCACTCCTCCAGTGGGACTCCAGCAGCATCTCTATCATCCCAGTAAAATCAGAATTCATAGGAACAGAGGTAGGGAATTGGAGAGAGGGAGGGTTATCATGCAAGGGGGCAGCCCGGAGGTGACTTTTGAGTCGACTCAAAAGTCCACCAGGGTTATCATGCAGGGGGGGGCAGCCCGGAGGTGACTTTTGAGTCGACTCAAAGTCACCAGGGTTATCATGCGGGGGGGCAGCCCGGAGGTGACTTTTGAGTCGACTCAAAAGTCACCAGGGTTATCATGCGGGGGGGGCAGCCCAGAGCATAGAGAAAGCAGAGCCACGGGCACAGCTCTCCCGGGTCCCTCAGAGTAAGATCCGTGTCCCTCGGGTCGAGCACCCGGTAGGTCCAGCGTCTCCCGCGCACACTCCCCCGCGTCCCTCAGGGTCGCTGCTTGCCCTCCTCTAGTGGCAACTCCAGCAGCATCTCTATCATCCATGGGGGTGAGAGACAGAAAAAGGGAGCGCTGTCTATGAGAGGCAGCTTAGGAGAAAAGTGACAGCAACAGCCGCACACATCACACACACCTCCCAGTATCCCTCAATTCCGTGTCCCTCAGATCAAGCCGGCGGTTGGATAAGGTCCACTGTCTCCCGCGTGACACTCCCCCGCATCCCTCAATCCGCTGCCTGTCAACTCCTCTAGGGGAGACTCAGAACAACATCTTTACCATCCCTGTAGGGTGAGGTAGGATTGTCAGAGTGAGGCAGAGAGAAGGAGCATTGAGAGTCGAATTGTTGTTAATAACACATAACTAGTTGACAATACATAACTGCCCGCGCACACTCCCCCAATCCCTCGAATCCGCCGCTTGCCACTCCGCCGTGTGACAACAGCAGCATCTATATCATCCTTGTTCATCTAGAATTCAGAAAGAAATAGAAAGGTTAGCCACCCTTACACCCTCATTCATCCCTGCAAAAGGAAGAGAAAGGAAGAGCGTAGGCACTCCGTGGTAGCGTGGAGAAAAGTGAAAGCTTTGCCGACCGTGGTAGCGTGCAAACCCCTTCGAGGTGAACAGCGAAGTGGACGATAAAGAGATGTGTTAAAGAACGAGGAATGAATGAACTAGCAAGCAGGTGGGTACAAGTAGGAAAACCTAAAGTGTTGTACCCCATATTGTCTACCCCACTACAGCCTAACACAGACTATAGCATATGAGTCTGACACACCCCCATAGGCAAAGTGGGGGAGAACAAGAGGTCACAAGACCAGTCAAGCAAAGCAAAGCAAGCTCAGGGTGGATCACAACGTCACCACACATTCCGAGCACAAGTTCAAGGCCACAAGGGCAGTTCACATGCAAGATCACATATAAAGGTAAACAAGCAAGTGCAGGTATAGAAAGATCGCAGTACAAGCAAGGTCAAGAAGTGAGCAAGTGAGGCCAAGTAGGCACAAGACCTAACATCGTATAGAAGTGCTGATGATCACCAGGCGGGTAGTGCCTTGGTAAAGATATCAGCAGTGTTGGCCTCAGAGGCCACGTAAGCAAGGCGCAGCTGACCACGCTGCTGCAGCTCACGAGCAAGGAAGTAGCGAAGAGCAATGTGCTTCGTTCTGTGCTCCAGTCTGTGCTCCCAACACAAGGCCAACATGGCCTTGTTGTCTACGTACAGAACTGGAGGAGAACGAGGCGGCTCAACAAGGTCAGTCAGCAGGTAGGTGAGCCAGCGTAGCTCCTGTGCAGCCATGGCCCCCACGTAGATCTCAGCCTCACAACTAGAGCCGAGAACAGAAGACGAGCGGGTAGACCGCCACGAAACAGAGCCGGAGCCAAGGCTGAAGGTGTAACCCTGTGACAACCGCTGCGTAGCCTGGTCGTCAGCCCAAGAAGCGTCTACGTGACCTGTAAGGACCACTGAACGTCGCCCTCCAAGCACTAGCCCCATGCCCGACATACTGCACATGTAGCGCAACACCCTCTTCGCTGCAGCCATGTGCTCTGGTCGTGTCTCCCAGGAGCAACATAGCGTGCCAAGATGCTAAGAGGGTATGCAAGGTCAGGTCGTGTGCAGGTCATCAGGTACATGAGACAACCAACAAGCTTTGGGTACGGGCCACTCGGCTCTACGGACTCATCCGAAGGCAGAGCTGAGAGCGAGTGGCGAGTAGACAGAGGAGTGGCCTGAGGCGAGGAGTACATAAAGTCGAAGCGCTGAAGGACCTGCTGCACCATGTGTGACTGAGTCAGGGTAATGGTGCACTGTGCTCCGTCCCGGGTGATCTGCAAGCCAAGGTAGCTGCGCAATTCACCCAGGTCTGTGCACGTGTGTCTCTTCTGCAGCTCGGACTTCACGTGGGCGAGTCCAGCAGTGTCAACAGTGGCAAAGACCAAGTCGTCGACATACACGAGGATGTAGAACGGCGGCAAAGAGGTGTCGGTGCAAAGAAACAGCGACGGGTCGGCAGTAGAAGGAGCAAACCCAAGAGCCGCAAGCGTAGTCCTCAGTGTGTCGTGCCACTCACGGGGCGCGTGGCGGAGACCGTAGACTGGCCGCCGGAGGCTCCACTAGGTACCAGGGGTAAACGACCCAGTGAAGCCAGGTGGGCGGCGCAGCCAGATCTCCTCGTGCAGGCTGCCCTGCAGGAAAGCTGTGCTGAAGTCAAGAGAGTGAAGCTCGTAGTTGTGCTGAGCGGCTATGTGCAGCAGCACCCGAAGAGTGGTCATCTTCGGGGTGGGAGAGAAGGTCTGAAAGTAGTCAACTCCCTGCCGCTAACTGAAGCCTCGAGCCACGTAACGCGCCTTGAAGACTGGCGGAGAACCCGACGGCCCGCTTCACCCTGAAAATCCACATGCCACTGACGATGTTCGGCCCAGATGGGGGAACCTCATCGACGTAGGTGCCTGTGGACTTCCAGGAAGCCATCTCTGCGTCCATGACTGACTGCCACTGAGAGGAGTAGGGACCCTCGATCGCCTTAGCGTACGATCGAGAAGTCGGGATGTCTGGTGCATTCGGGTCTCCCTAAGGGGCAATCAGCGTGGACACGAGATGAGGCAAAGCAGCAGAAAAACACTAGAACTCCTCCTACCTATCCTCAAGGACGTCCGTGCTAAGAGCACACTCACCCCCGACGGACGGAGGACACACAGACTGAGACTAAGCAACAAGACTAGCGGCGAAGTTGAGACGACAGCGAGCAGCAAAGTCGACAAGCTCAGCAACTAAGGCACACGCAGCAGTGGACTCAAAGGAAGGGTTAGTGACATCAGTAGCCAGAAGATGCGCGACAGTAGGACTGGCAGCACGAAGAGAGTCAGACTCCGGGTCAGCAAGAACAGGAAGAGAGGACTCTGGAGGAGACGGCAACGGGACACGCAGAGGAGCAGTGGAAGGACGAAAAGCCATCTGGTGTGTGCCTGGGACCGCAGGAGGACGCGGAGGCGGAGCACGACTACTAGTGCGAGCAGCACAAAGAGGTGACGCAGGACGAGACGCAGGCTCACGACGCTCAGCAAGACCTCCAGTAGGACCAGTGTAGGGAGAAAGAGCAGGTAAGGGGGAGGCGGGCTATAATTGTGACTGCGACTAGACAGGCTGTGGACACTCTAAGGGAGGAGTTGGACCAGTAGAGGGCGGGAGACCAAGAATCTGCTCAAGGAGCGGAACGAAGTACGGCCGCGGCCGCGCAGCGCCCCCAGAACCAGCAGGGACAGCACCAGCACCCCCAGCGGCAGCACCAGCCCCAGCAGCACCTCCAGCTCCAACAGCGCCAACTCCAGCACCCTCAGAAGCACCAGCGCCAGCAGCACCACCAGCGCCAACACCCCCAGCAGCTCCAGCTCCAGCAGCACCAACTCCAGCAGCTCCAGCAGCTCTAGCAGCAACAGCTCCAGCAGCTCCAACAGCAGGACCAACTCCAGCAGACCCAGCAGCACCCCCTGTCCCAGCACCTCCAGTACTGCCAATACGAGCACCTCCAGGACTAGTGGCTCCAGTAACTCCAGTGCAGACCCCAGGGTCAGCACTAACAGCAGCACCTCCAGCTCCAGCAGCACGGCTCCAGCGCCGGGCTAACCACTCGCGCAGCTCATGTGGAGAGTGTAGCTCCCGCCTCGATGAAGCACCCGAAGGGGCCCTAAGCCCAGCACCGCCAGAGGCCACACGAGCAGACCCAGCACCTCCAGGCTCCGCACCCCCAGGCTCAGTACCCCCAGGCTCCGTACCTTCAGGCTCCGCACCCCAAGGCTCCGCACCCCCAGGCTCCGTACCCCCAGGCTCAGCACCCCCAGACTCAGCACCCCCAGATTCAGCACCCCCAGGCTCAGCACCCCTAGCAGCACCAGAGTCAACAGCTACCTCGACAGGCTCGACTGCATCTACCTGGGACACTCCTGACGGGGCAGGACCCTAAGGGGGGAGGGGGTCTACTGGGGGGGGGACTTGGCGCAAGGACGAGCGGCGGCTGGGGGAGGGGCACAGTGCGGTAGGGGAAGAGACGTTAGTAAGGCACCGACTCGTCAAAGGTGATATCCTGGGAGGACAGAACACGGCGCGAGGTGGGGTGGTAAAACTGCCAACCAGGCGCGTCAGGGGGGAAGCCAAGGAAGACGCAGGGAACAGCACGGGGGGACAGCTTGTCCGGAGACAAGTCACGGACAAACGCCCGAGATCCCCAGACACGAAACGCAGACGCATCGCCAACCTTCCCGGTCCACCGCAAGGTGTGGGAGGTCTCTGGCAAAGAGACTCGGGGCTGAAGGTTGATTTGATGCGCTGCGTACTGAACCGCAAACGACACAGAAAATGGGGAGCAGCCGCATGGATCATGGACGTACGAGCGACGTCCATGACCATGTCGATGCGGCGCTCAGCAATCCCATTTTGCTGTGGAGAGGCTGGAAGCGTGAAGGTCTGGCGGATGCCCTGTGCACGACAAAAGGCTCCCAAACGCGCAGAGGAAAACTCCCCGCCTCTGTCAGAGTGCAGACGCAGAACAGGAAAGTCCGAGCCGAAACTCTCTCTGAGCTGGAGACGAGCCGTGCGGATCCAGTCGATCAACACCTCAGTGACGTCACCCTTGCTGCGCAAGGGGAACACCGTGATGTAACATGAGTAGTTGTCAACCACCAACAGGAAGTAACGCTCGTGACCCTGGCCACGGACGCGGGCGGGGCCCCACACGTCCATGTGAAGAGTCTGCAGCGGAGCCTCTATCGGAGGAAACTCGGAGGCGTGAGGGGCGGCGCGCTGCCGCCCCTCGACGCAGGGAACGCAGGTAGGGGCAGGCCCCAGAGGGAGGGGAGGGAGGGACCGGGGGAGACCAAAGACAAGGTAACGGGAGGCCATGCCTCGAAGATGAGGCAGGGAGTGGTGACCAAGGCGGTGGTGCCAGAGGAGAGTCTGGTGGGACAGGAGACGACACGAGCAGGGAGTAGACTCAGGACCAGACCTCGACGATGCAGCAAACACCTGACCTGACGCAGCTACCTGA